GCTGCTCTTCCATCAAAGGAAAATCCATCATTTTAGATTTTACCTATATTTTTATTTTATACAGATTTTACCTATATTTTTATTTTAGACAGATTTTACTTCTTTTACTAACAAATCAAACTTATCATTTTATTCATTTTTACTTAGAAAGCCCAGTATCACGAGATTTTATATATATATATATATATATATATATATATATATAATTAAACATGTTGATGACCATATGAAGAAAACATCGATTAAACTGAATGCAAGAACATGTGAAAGAGGCTCTCGAATTTTTCCATTTCCTTGGGAGGAAGAGCCACTATAATGTTGATCCCATCATCACCACCTGCGCCAAAGGGAGGAAACAACAGAATAATATCCTTCCGATGATGCACCAGAGGGAAACAATACTTTGGCTTCCCCCATGGATACTCCACCTTTTCAAACCCTAATCTCCACCACGAAGACACCAAAACATCCCCACGAGGAAACCCATCACCCAGCTCTCCCCGGTCTATAACAGACCTCACATACTCATCACTCATTCTCTCTGCTCCCTCTTTCACCATCTCCACCAACCTTGAAAACTCACCCTTCTCCAACTCCTCGTATTTCGCCGAAGCAAATGCCGTTAACACGGCGTTGCCAGCGAAGCCTTCCGGCAACGGAGGGTTCAGTTTCGAACGTATGTCCACGGCGAATAGTACGGTCGAGGATCCAGCAGGGTCATACGGTGCTGATAAGGCCTTGCACCGCCATATATGGGCGGTGATAACGTTAAACCCGGTGTTGCTGGCGTTGGTGCTTCCCTTTGCTTTCTCCTTGAGGCTCAGGATGTCTTTTGAGGTTAGTTTCAAAATCCTAAAGTCGACTTCTTCTTTGGAAGCATCAAAGACGCTGGACTCAATAACTGGTGACTGATCGAGTTCGATCAACTCGGGGTTCGGGAAGGTTACACGTGGTGGTGATCGTGCGGCCAGGAGGTGCCTGTCGTGGCAGGGTATCACAGCCAAAGGTTTATTAGCAGCCAGTGCCGCAAGGTTGTCCAAGAAGGTTTTGAAGCTAAGTCCGTCAAAGGCTGCGTGGCTGGTTGTGAAGCCCATTGCGAAGCCACCACAGTCAAAGGATGTCAGCTGTAAAGTGAATGTAACATCATCAATTCATTAATTATTGTTTTAACGTTGTACTCGTGCTTGAAATTCAATGCTTAATGATGATGTGAATATTAGGCTTATGTGATGTTATACTTTCTAACGTTTAGGTTTTTCATAATATATTGGGAGACAATATTGTATTAATACTTTTGATATTTTCTTTCTGAAGTGTGATTGATTTATATGGACTAAATTCTGTGAACATTGGAGATTGTCCTACTTTAAATTTAATGCGTGATTTCATTGAAATAAAACTAAGCCACAAATGCTTGAGCAATTATATAGTTGATGTAATATAATCTTTAATTATCAAGACTGATTTTTCGGCTACCTAGCAAGTATGGGCCAACATGGTCTAATTAATCTCTTAATTACATTTTAATTGTGAAATTTTTAAAAACATTTTATTTATTTATTTATTTGTTGCGTTTAAAATTCAAAATGAATGTAATGTAAAAATTGAAAATTTTCATAACTATTTATTACGAAAAAAAAAATTACTATATTTAGTCTTATATAAAAATTTAGAAGACATACAAATGATAGAAAGAGTAGTTATTTCTCGACGTCTTGATAAAGGGTTAAAAAAAATTGAAGAATTACTGACATGAGTTTAGATAGAGAAATGATCAAATATACTACAAAATGTTATTTAAAATATTTCATAGTGACATCAACTATCAAAATTATTCTTTTAAAAATTTAATTTGTCAAGAGTGGATGCTAATACTATGCGTAAAATCAATCCTAAAAGAGGGGATGTTAATAACTTTGAAATAGTATAATACTCTGCCATACTGAAATTAAGATATATTTAATTTATATAAAGTTAAATTAAATTGCCACAATTGTTATCATTTAAATCTGTTTTCAGCCTGAAAAAATGATTTTCTTTGTATTATTTCCTACTGTATCCGTACCTTCAGAAAACCACATTTCCTCTTTGTCATTAGTTAAAACCTTGGTCGTTTTTAGTAAATGATTGAACTCCTCCTTAGTACGAATGTTTCAGTTTATCATCTAATAAAAACTAGAGTTATTAATTATCCATTTAAAATTAGTCTTCATTGTTCAGTTACACATAAGGATATCATTTTTGAAAATGTAGAAAATATATATGAATTATGATGTTTTTACATTAAATATAAAATTTAGTTCAATTATATATTTAATACAATTCATGGGTTAGATTTATTAAAGTTAGATTATAAGAACTTATTAAGGATATAATTTGACTAACCTATTAAAGTTAGAGGTTATATATATGTATATATATAAATACTGAAGTCACCAAAATTTTGAAAAAAAATTTTAACTAAGGAAGTATATTTTCTGTTAAATTATTTCCAGGAAAAGTGAAGGAAACAATTGCAGGAGCCCACAAAAAATTTCTGAAGGATTGAAATAGGTAAAGAAAGCTGATGATGCAAACAAAACTGAATAAAGTACTGATATAATCATATATATCCAAAATCACTTTCATCATTATACCTTTTAATTAAAAAAATATATAATAGTATTTTCTATTCACTCAGTATTTGTGTTTTCTTAAATAAAAGGTAGCAATTTGATACATATGATGATAATAAAGTCGAACACATATAGGGCAAACAACTGCAGTTATTCAAACTATGTTGCATTTTGGCCACCCAAAGATAAACTGTAGTTACCTGCACAGCGCATAGTGGAAGATCCTTACTCTTGTGAACCAATTGTGCATAAGCTGGATTGGGATAAGCCAAGTCTCCAATCTCAGTTAACTTGTGCTTACTTGAAGCCACTACAAACTCAGCACCTTTTTCGTTGCAATCTATCTCTAATCTCTTGGTTTCAGGATTCTGTCTCAACCTTCCGGCTAAGAAGGAATAATGCACAAGAGCATCCTCCAGGGCCTTCTTCAACTTCTCAGCCACCTTTTGGAATGAAAAAGCTTTGTTTGCTGCGAAGAAGTGAAGCGTGTCCACATCAAAGTTTACTACTCTGTCTATGTTTGTTAGGAACAAGGACTTCTTCTCCATTTCTTTGGATGGAAATATGGTTGAAGTTTTGTGGATTGTCACCTTCAGATCATGAAGAAGTGATGCAGATTTTAGGCAAGAGGTTCCCATGTTTGAAAAACTGAACCAAAGTGTGTAGTGTTCTTATGCAGTGAGTATGTGTGTTGTGGTTTTGGCCTTGACCTTATATATACACAAACACGTAGTGGGCATCATCTTTGCGGAAGCATGCAACGTGCACACCATTCATCATGTACCATAACGTGCTTTTATGAGCATTGAATTCACCGGAGGTTCAGATTGTTAAACCATGTCTAATGGCAGAAAATCATTATCGCGTTTCGTATTTGGTAAGTACAAAGGAAAAACGCTGAAGCCGAAAAAATAGATAAGTTTAAAAGTAAATGAAGTACAATAAAATGAAAGTTATTAAATTGGAAACAAGTAAAATAAAATAAATTATTTTTAAAATGTTTTATTTTTAAAATATTATTACTCTATTATTTATTTTATTATTAATATTATATTATTATTTGTAGAATATATAACTAAAATAAAATAATTGAAGGGTCTTTCATCATTATGACAGTCTCATAATATTATGAGAAGAGACTTTAGTCGAAAATCATCATTATATTAGGTTCTATTTAAACAATGCTTCCTGGTGTGTTTATTTGTTCTCTGCTTTAAAAAAAAAATAGTAAGTTTAGTTTTCATACGCGTTAGTATGCATTAGTTAAGCTTATTTTTGTTTGCGGTATTTAAATATTTAATATTGACTTATTAGCCATGCTAGGATGAGAATTTTGTGGTGTGGTAACATTTGTTTTCTGCCCATAGAGGGTAAGAGCTTTAGGATATAGAAATTTGAGATTAAGGTTTATAAAAAAATTAATCCGTGAACACTTGAGATTCCAACAGCGAAAAAGAAAGGAAATTGAGGATTTCATTAATGATAAAGTGAGTGCAAAATTGAGTTTTCTTTGATAGTGAAGTGGTATCCAATTGAAGATTGAAGGTGCATGTGTCTTGAATATATATGATTGTCTGTATCTACTTTGGGCTTTTTGATATGAAAATTTGGGATTAGGGTTTAGGAAAAAAATTAGTCGATGAAAGTTTGCGAATTAGGGATTCCAACTGTGAAGAAAAGAAGATTTTTTGGAGATTTCATTGATGGCAAAGTGAAAGTGAAAAATCAAGCTTTTTTTGACAGTGAAGTGGGTTCCATTAGAGATTGAAGGTCCGTATGGGTTGAATATATATGATTGTGTGTCTATTTTAGGCCTTTTGGAGTGAAAAACTGGGGTTAGAGTTTAGAAAAAACAAATAGTTAGTGAACCTTTACCAATTGGGGATTCCAACTACGAATAAGAGAACCGAAATTGGGGATTTCATTAACGATCAAGTGAAAGTGGAAAATCAAACTTTCTTTTACAGCATAGTAGGTTCCATTGAAGATCGAAGGTGCGTATGTATTGAATATATATGATTATGTGTGTCCCCCATGAGCAAGACGAACAACACTGATTGCATGACATTGCACCTATTCGGGAACACACTTCATGAAGCAACTCGCAACAAAAAAAAGAGCACAATGGAGACTAGGCCAAACTTCAAACTTCATTTGGTGTTCAAGCTTCACTTAGGGCAAGCTACAAACTTCTCCATTAAAAGGACATGTGAAGAACATCATTCCACAATACATTTACACATTTTGACTCGTTGTAAACATGTCTTGTAACATCACCACATAGTTGATACCGTTTTTGGAAAATTAACACAATGGACATTGATTAATGTACATTAACACATTTAAGAAGAAATTGACACGGTTTTAAAAACATAGACCAAATAAACACGATTCCTCGAAAGTGGGGACTACCCGAATAATTAAGAAAAAAAATGTTTATTTCTTTTATCTAGTAAAACAGGAGTATAAATCTCATCCATTTTTTTAGTATTTGTTTACACTTTTTTCTATTCTTATTTACAAAGAAATTATATGAAAAAGTATTTGTTGATAAATAACTCTAGAATAACGTGATGATAATTGTTTAGTTTATGTTAAAGACAAAGAATGTAACTCCTCAATTTCTAGAGTGTCACGGGTTATTTAAAACCATACATTTCAAAACTTTCATATAACACGGAAACGAATTTTTCAAAACGATAACATTTAAACATCCATGAATTATTCAAAATATATTAGTTTCGAAAGACTTGTCCAATTACATTATTCAAATAATGGAAATAATGAATAAATAAAAATAACTCCAACATATTGTTTTAAATTTAACAAAAATAGCTTTCATTAAAAATCATGAGTTTGTTTTTTGTCATCTCTCGAATCTATCATGCTTCAGCACCATGTGCAACATCATCTACTCACGTATAACACATTATACGATTATCGTTGATAATTTCGTTCACAACACACAAACACAAACACGTATGGGGTAAGCTCATAATAATAAGATAGATAAAATAATCATCATAATAATAAGATATAAACACATTGAATATATATATCAACCATAAACCACCCCATACCCAATGGTAATAACTATAATATTCTTAATCTTCTAGCATAACAACTTAATCACAATGAATTACTCTCAATCCCCGATCCTTGATTCCTCGGCCCTTGATGTCATTACTAACATCTCACACATAAACCCTTGTTCTATCCACTCATTAACACATGTGCTAACCATTTAGCATAGCCATCATAGTAACACTACTATCAACATAGCATCACCTAGAGCACCACAAATTCATGATCATCATCATAAATACACCACCATTGTTGGAAGTCTCACATCGACTAGAGATAAGGCCAAATTATAATATATAAGTGAGGTGCAAACCTCACCTTACAAGCCGGTTTTGTGGGGTTGAGTTAGGCTTAAAATCCACTTTCTAATATGGTATCAGAGCCATGGTTAGAGCCTATTCTAGCGAGTTCTAAGTGGGCATTCTATTCTTCTATTCCACCCGCTATCGGACCGTTATCGGACCATCCAATTTCTACTATCACGCACGAGATGTTTATACCTCGGCGTGAAAGGGATGTGTTGGAAGTCCCACATCGACTAGAGATAAGGCCAAATTATAATATATAAGTGAGGTGCAAACCTCACCTTACAAGCCTGTTTTGTGGGGTTGAGTTAGGCTTAAAGCCCACTTCTAACAACCATCATGATTATCCTAGTCATGTACAACACTACGAGCATCATCATACCATGATCACCATAGTGGAAAGAGTCAATCTCACTTTATACCTTACCTCACCCGCTTGTAGCCACTCCCACAAACCAATTTGTAGCTTCTCATACAAATATGCTTGAGTAATCCCGCCATCCAGCTAAAGAACATGTAAACATGCCACACAAGAACAAGGAAACCACCATCACCCCTACACAAGGAATGTTCAATACTTAAACAACCCTTCCTATTCACACAAGGCAAAAGGAAGCATCTATCCGCAAATAGAACCAAGATTTACTAGGTATAGCTAGTAGATCTATCCTCCTCTTTCATGCTAATCAACCACATACTCAGGTACACCCCAACACCACTCATGCTTCAATCTCAACCACAAGTCAAAACTGACCCTAAACATAACCACTAATCTCATTCTCTGATTATTATCACATTCCATAACTCCTCAAGCTTGATCCACTTTCATTCTTCATCAAAATGCACTTTTCTAGTAAAATTACTCTGGAATAATCTATTACCATAAGTGATAGCCGATTATTCTCAAAACAACCATTTTTACACAAAATACACTGTGATAATCGATTCTCACTTAAGATAATCAATTATATGAGTAGAAATTCCTAAATTTGTCACACATGAAGGGATAATTGATTATCATCCCAGATAATCGATTACTCTCGCAACACAACTCATAACCAATGTCTAAATAATTGACTATAACTAATGATAATCGATTATTACCGAAAGGAGAAACATCTTGGATAGAATTCAAGTGTTCAAAATACACATACATCAACCTTAAATCACAATGAAACATATACAGTACATCATGCATATATTCAAACCTTATATACTCTTATGAACAAACCCTAATACATCCATTACATCACTTGAATCAACCGAAACCCATCATTATGTAGATTATAACCCAAAATAAACCCAAAATGATCATCATACCACTCTTTAGAACATATGATTTTTATGATAAAACCCCCAACAACATACATTTGTTCTCTCTTAGCATCAATACATACTATTATGGGATAACCCAACACAAAACATACATACTTTCATAGGAAAAACGTAACACAAACATTATATAAACCCTACCATCATACATACACAAGCCCTTACCCAACATCAACAACAGATAATCATAATCACATAAACATGTATCAAAATAAGGATTTCCATACAAGAAAATCAAGAAAACAAAAGTAAGTTTCCCTATACCTTGGCCAATATTAGAGCTTTATCTACAACCTCAAAATACCATCAATCTTCCTTTGCACTAAGAGTTTCTTTTGTTGTCTCTCTCTCTTATTCTCCCAAAACACCACTCTCCTCTCTTTCTCTATTTTCTTTCTTTGATGTAGACTATATAGGGTTTTTAAAACATTAATATCACCCCTCTCTCTATATCTTAACATTTATAAATCAACCCAACTCTATCTCTAATATTTCCTCACTCATAATAATATATTTTAAAAACCAAATATATCTAAATCTTTATCTTCGTTTTATCTCAAGTTCATTATCTACCTTTTTATTTTATTTTATTTAATTCACACCCTTTTACTTCCTACACCTCCTAATTTAATTTCTACACCAATTAAATAAAGGTAATAGATCATTTTCCTCCTAAGCAAAAATACAAATAAAATAAAAGTTTTCCTTAACTCCCTTCCTCCCTAGAATTTAACCCACGCTTATTCAATCTTAAATCATCCTTCCATTAACAAGTAGCACATCACATTAATAATATCACATACACAAATCACCCAATTATCAACATTTCAATCATATATTGCACTTTATTAATAATAACATAAAATAATTAACATATCAATTATAACTCTAAGAATCATGTAAACATTAAACATCAATTATCAAATAAAATACTCAA